CCCAGACTGGAGTGCAGTGGCACGCTCCCGGCCACTGCAGTGTCAACCTGCTGGGCTCCGGCAATCCTTCTGCCTCAGTCTTCCAAATAGCTGGAACTACAGGTGTGCGCTACCACGCCCAGATAATTTTTTATTTATTTGTAGAGATGAGGTCTCGCCAAGTTGCCCAGGCGGGTCTTGAACCTGCGGGCTCAGGCAATCCACTCACCTCAGCCTCCCAAAGTGGGGGATTACAGGCTGATCCACCGAGCCCGGTTTAGGAGAAAATCTTAATGAGCTCAGATCTGGCAAAGATTTCATAACTGGGACACAAAAAGCATAAATTAGAAAACAAATTGATAAAATGGACCTAATCAAAAGTTTAAACTTTCTTTTCAAAAGAGAATGTTAGGAAATGTCACAGCCTGAGGAAAAAAATTTGTAAAATATACATCATAAAGGACTTGAATCTAGAATACATGAAGAACTATTATAATTCAAGTATGAGATGAACAGCTCAGTAAAAAAAAAAACAAGGCTGGGCTTGGTGGCTCAGCACTTTGGGAAGCAAATGAATTGCCTGAGGCCACGGGTTCAGACCAGCCTGGGCAACTTGGCAAGACCTTATCTCTGCAATAAAATAACAAAAAAATTAGCCCGGCATGGTAGTGCATGCTTGTAGTTCCGGCTACTTGGAGGGCTGAGGCAGAAGGATTGCTGGAGTTCAGCAGGTCGATGCTGGGGTGGCCGTGAATGTGCCACTGCACTCCAGCTTGGGTGATGGGGTGAAACTCCCAACACACACACACACACACACACACACACACACACACACACACACACAAAATCATACCAAGCGTTAGAGAATATATGGAAGAATACTATGGTGGGAATATATGACAACCACTTTGAAAAATAAACTCACTATATTACTTGGCCACTCCGTAGCGAGGCATTTAACTGAAGAGAAAGAAAAACATATATTCACACATAAATTGTACCTGAATATTTGTAGCATTTGTAAATGGAACACAGAAACCTAAATTATAAAGAATTGATAAAATGGACCTAATCAAAATGTAATAGCCAAAAACTGGAAGCAACTAAAATGCCCAAGAATAGGAGAATAACTTTAAAAATTGTTATCTATCTGTACACAAAATCTTCTCAGCAATAAAAGTGAATGAACATGGATACAGCTATGGGCAAAATTCAAAATAATTATTCTGAATGAAAGAAATCAGATTCTCCACCTTCAAAAATAGAATATACTGATGATTTTATTTACATAAAATTCTAGAAAAATACCTGTACAAACTAACCTACAGTGACAGAAGGCAGACTTGTGACTGAATGGAGATAAGATGGAGAGGCAAAGGATTCCACACATGCACAGGAATCTTTTGGAGGGGCTCTCTATTTGGTGGTGGTGATGAGGGTTTCACAGTTTACATGTGTCAAAACTCATCA